GTTACTCTCTCCCCCTCCACCCACCCGCCCCCCTCCATCCCTCTGAGATCCCTCAGTCTGATCCATGCCTCCATGTCACTGAATCAAAAAACGTGGAACGCTTTGGGAATTTGCGTGTCATCCTTGCGCAGGGGCCCTGCTCGTCTCTGTATCGTCCCAGTTTTTAGGATGTGTGCTGCCGAAGCGAGCACTTGAATATTTTCAAGTGCATCTTCTTGAAGTTAATCAGCTTGGTGCCGGGGCTGGTTAAGAGGGGCTGTAGGGCCATGACAAGCTGTCCCTCACCTCCCTCTGGGTTTGTGCCCTGGATGAGTCTGCTACGAACCACAGACCTCAGGTCCTTCCGCTTCCAGCCTGGGCTTTGACGGCTCTCTGCTCACATCACCTGAAGGGGGAAAATGAATTCTCCACCTGTACCACTGGCTCTGTCCCCCAGCTGGCTGGGTGACCAACACCTTAAATTCGCAGCACACTGGGTGTTCTTACGGGTTACTCAGAAGAAAGGATCTGATGAGAGTGCCACGGTATAAAATGCCAGAGTCCGTCAACTCTCCAATGCACATTTTAACATTTTCTGAAATTGGAATGCAGTTTATTGTCATTGGTATTATAGTTTAATTGGTAACATTTTTTTTTCATTCTTTGTGGTTCATAATTATGCCCCTTACACCAGTGGTGTCTTAGATTTGATAAAATACAGTATTTATTCCAAGTGTTGTCTGCTATATTGGGAAATATCTTGTAAACAGGCAACATTTTGAAGTCACTTTAGGTAAGCCAGTCATAGTGCTGAGGGTCCAGGGTGTCCTACCTTATACTCTAATCACATGTAACGGGGCTTTATGTCTTACGTACCTAGGGATGGTCATTACCCTTGTCTGTATTTTTCACAGGGCGGGTTATGTTTTGTTCCAGCCATTGAGGGCTAGTAGCCTTGGTCCTGAGCTCTATGAGGCAGCAAGATACTGGACACAAGGTTTTAGATTTTTTAAAAGAATCATCTGATTTTTTTTCNCAGCAAGATACTGGACACAAGGTTTTAGATTTTTTAAAAGAATCATCTGAATTTTTTTCTTGTTGTGTTTCTAGCGAGTCCAGATTCCAGAGATCATCATCATCTTCCTCCCAAGGGCAACAAGACTTTGAAAGTGAACTGGTTGGTATCTAAGGGACAGCTGTGGTTATGGCCGGCGGGGCGGGTGGCAGGTGGCGGGTGGTGGGGACCAGCTTCATGAGTCGGGGGGAGAGGGCAGTGGTGTTCCTGTTCAGGTGCTAACTTAGTGCCCTGGGTCTTGAGTGGCAAGTGTGGGTAAGAGCTCTTCTCTGCATTGGCAGAGTCACCTGGACTTGGTAGGTACCACAGGGGAGTGGCAGCTGGATGGCCCAGGATCGTGAGACTGACTCTCAGGCAGAGGGCTGTGGAACCCCCATGTGGTCCTAGCACTTGTCTCTGTTATTATACTTATGGCTTTTGGGGCAATTATTTTTATTACTTCCTTTTTGAAAATATGTTTGTATTGATTTTTAGAGAGAGAGAAAGAGAGAAACATCAATATGAGATTGGCTGCCTCCCCCACGCACCCTGAGCAGGAATTGAGCTCACAACCTGGGCGTGTGCCCTGACCGGGAATCGAACCGGCAACCTTTCGGTTCACAGGGTGCCACTCAACCAACTGCACCACACCGGCCAGAGCCAGTTAATTAATTATTAGCTTGCCTGCTAGTCTGTGGGCCAAATAGGGGCAGGAACCATGTCTTACCCAGCACTGTTCCCCATCACCTGTCACCCGGTAGTAGGTACTTGGTAATTGTCAAGTGAATGGTGGACAAATATTTGTCTTCAAATAAAGACAGGTAAAGCTGGGAAACAGTCCAGCTTTAGGGAGTGTCAGTGGGCAATAAAACCCACAGACACCTCTTCCCTCTCTAGATCCCACTCCAGGCTTTTTGTCCCAGGTCTCATCAGTCCTTTTGAAACACACAGAAACCCACGTCACTTTCTCCAGAGCTGTCCCGAGTTTTCATCAGCTCTTGATTCAGGTTTCACGGTTTGACCCTGGAGCCTGTGTAACTCCACAGATTGTCACATTTGAGAGGTTTTTGCAAGAATCCCAGGCATGGGGTGCAGACGGGGAAGGATTGGGAGCCTGCAGACTCTGTCATGGTTGGGACAAGGGGTAGCTTGCCGAACTTGGGGTAGAAGTGCTATTTTTGTACAAGAGGAGGTTGGATAGTTATTAATGTCAAAGACGATGGTTACGTCTGCTCCCAAAGCCAGACATGCTCGAAGCTGAGCCCTGATCTCTTGGTTTCCAGGGATGCTGCCCCTGGCTGACTGCGATCTTCCGTCTGAAGTGAGTACAACGTGGGCATCTGTGTGCGTGTGTGTGCGTGTGTGTGCGTGTGTGTGCGTGCATGTGCATGTGTGCGTGTGTGTGCGTGTGTGTGCGTGTGTGTGCGAGGCCAATCTGGAGAAAGGGCCAAGATGCCTGACCTTGAGACAGGGACTCTTAGGTACTTTTCCAGTTCAGGTTCAAAGCAGTGTGTGGGGGCTGTGAACAAAGGGGGCCCAGGCAGCCCCTGCACAAGCTGATTGAGCTCATGCTTTGCTTCAGGCAGGAATTAGATCTACTTACTATTTAACACGGACACACTTGAATGGAAGCCCTTCTAGACGGTTTTACACGTCTTTGAACTAGTGGCAAGCGGAGAACTGATGATTGCTTGATAGTCAGCTCCTTGGGTTAAAAGTTTTCATGTTTTCCAAACCCGGAGCCTGTGAAGAGAAATCCTGAAAGAGGCGCATGGTGATGTGAGCTGGTCAGTCACCTCCAGTGTGGTGGGAGGAGCTGAGATGTGAGTCTGGGCTCTGCCACCTGCTGCGAGTTCTGTCAAATCCAAGAAGCCGTTGTTGTAAGATGCACATTATTTGACGCAGCACCAAGAAAGAGAAAATGCTGCCCATTCGGCCACGGTCAGCTCTGATCACTGAAATCTGAAAAGGACATCTTAGAATGGATGAAATATGGTAGTTGCAAGACACTGGGCAAGTCCCTTCCTCTGGGCCTCAGTTTCCCCAGCAATAAAAAGGTGCCAAGGATGACACCTGCTCTGCCTAATTCAAATGAATTAATTCATGTTGTATAAATGGTAGAGCTTGGGGGGGCGTTGTTCCCAGGGGAACTGGCAGGAGGCGGAGTTTCTATAGCAGCCAGTGAACCCTGGTCCAGGGCAGGAGGGAGGGGATGGAGGTGAGAGAGGTGCCACAAAATCAGGTCACTAGGACACGTTTCCTCCTGCTATTGGAAGTAATGCATTCATTGTGCAAAAAGTCCAGCACATGCAGAAAATAATTAATAGGAAGAAGTTGTAAGTCCCCCATAACCCTACCTCTGTGAGATGCCCATGACATGTTTTCCTTGGGTCAGCCACTCTCCATGGCCACTGCTGGTCAGGGCTCAGGCCACCCCCAACCCCTGGGCTGTGGACCCTGCTCTCAGCCTGGACCCGGTGGGGCAAAACCAGAAACTGCGACTCATTATTTTCATGGTAACTAGCAAAGGCTCAGCAAATTTGCCCCGAAGCCACTCCCCTCTCCAAGCCCACTGTTTTTATTGTCCGCTGTCCCCACAGTCCTCTCCGCGGGGACACCCGCCTCTTGCTGCGTGGGGCTGTCCCGTGGGCGCAGCTGTGCAGTCTGCTCGGTGATTTTAACGCTGCATCAGACATGGGTTTGCATTTCGACTCCCAATATTTCCCTCTTCCATTCTAGCCCCGGAAAGGACTACCTGTGACTTTTTCAAAGTTGCAATTAAATTTTAACAGCTGCTCACAGCCAATATTACAGCTAACATTTAAAGAGGCCTCTCAGTTTCCTTCTGAATTGCCTCTTTCCAGCAACATAGGGCAGTCGGGAGAGTGTCTCACGAGAAACTGTACCGAACGTTGCCCGCGTGGGGGTTTTAATCTCCATCGTATGTGTTTAGTGAGCACGAAGGGGGGCACAGTGTGTGCACTTTGGCAGTTCTTGCGAAGCCACCAGGTAGCCAGCAGATAGTACCTTCCTGCTTTAGCTGAGTCCCAGCCTCAGGTGTGTCCCGTGACCCGCTCCCGGAGGTGGCTGAGCCGGATTCCACTGTGGCCTGTCGCCTGCCAGGCCCACGCGCCGCACCCTTCAGACCTGCCTTCCATGCACCCTGAGCTCTTCCCGGAGCGGCACTTGCCCCAGGGTGTGGAAGCAGGACCCTCAGGGTATCTCCCCATCAGGAAACTGGGGCACAGGGAGGAGCCAGGGGCAGCAGGACCGACTGAGCCTTGGCGTGTTTCAGCAACGTCTCCACCTCTCCCTCCCAGCTTGGCTGAGGGGTGACAGAAGAAGGATCGGGGCCCTGAGCTTCGGAAGGAGGTTCCCAGGGGCCCTCTGGCCAGTGGCTGTGCTCATAGAGGCAGGAAAGGGCTGTGGGACCATTGTATCTACACCTCTCACCGCCGTACAAAAGTCAGTGTTTCTAGAGACACAGATGGAGAGGTGGTAGGTTCCTCTGCCCAGGAGTTGGGTGTGGGGCTAAGAGGTCAGGCTCTGAAGTTCTCATTATAGCTCCTCTGTTAGGAGCTATGTGATTGTAAAAGTTAAGCAACTTCTCCATTCCTCTGTTTACTCATATATAAAAAAATAGAGAGAAAATTAAGCCTCCCTCCTGGGATGGTGGTGAGGGATTAGAGGAGATAATTCGTGCAAGGCCCCGAGGGCCCGGCCTGTGACCGCTGCTCATTAAGATTCCACCCTGTGTCCTGACCAGCGACGACCAGATCCTGGAGTGGTGCGGAGAGGACGCCATCCACTACTTGTCCTTCCAGAGACACATCATCTTCCTGCTGGTGGTGGTCAGCTTCCTGTCCCTGTGCGTCATCCTGCCCGTCAACCTCTCGGGCGACTTGCTGGGTAACTACCCCTGTTGTCCTTGGCCCTGAGTGGGGCCCAGGCAGAGCAGCAGGCCCAGGGAAAGGGGCTCATTGTGGGGGACCCGTGCTCACACTCAGATGTGAGAAGGCCTCAGGGTACCTTTCTGGATTTTTCCATCCGATTAAAAATCCAGAGAAGAATCCCCCCCAAACCTGAGCCCCTCATCAATCTCTGTTTCTAAGTAGGAGGAACAGAAGCCCCAAGATTTATAGAATTAGGGGCTTGCAAGGGTGTTTTGTATTTTCCTGCCCCCACCCAAATCAGGAGGCCACAATTGGTGGATCCGGAAGATGTTTGTGGGGCTCCAAGTCAAAATCAGAGCCGGGAATTGTATTTCCAAACAACTGCAGGAATCTAGCTTCCAAAATGCCACCATGACCCCATTTCTTAGGCCAGTGATTCCCAACCTTAGTTTTGGGAACAGCTTAGGATCTTTCCAGATGTCTCAAGAAATGCCACAAAAATCTCAAAGCAAGATGAACCCCGATGATGGGTTGAGAAATTGCCAGGGAGCATCTTGGGGTAAAGCAGAGGCCTTGGTCGGGGTAACCCTGAAAAGACTGGATGGGTGGCACTGTCCTCTGACCAGCCTGGCTGTCTGTACCCCTCCTCCTCAGAGCTGCGCAAACCAAGGCTGGTTATGTCCCCTCCCATTCCCCAGTGTGACCCTGGAACTAAGACTCTATGTTTCTCTGCAGACAAAGACCCTTACAGTTTTGGGAGGACTACAATAGCAAACCTACAGACTGGGTGAGTAGGGGGGTGGAAGGATATGAGGATGCCGATGGGCGAGTCCAAGGAGAAGGCAGATTCTGGAGCCCAGGGTGGGGAGAGGTAGCCCAAAGTGGGTGGGCTCATGTCCAAAAGCCCCTTTGCAGCTAGCGTGTGGCTGGGCACTGGGCACTGACACACGCTGTCGGCAGCTGCTGTTTTTTAAAATATATTTTTATTGATTTCAGAGAGAGGAAGGAAGAGGGAAAGAGAGATAGAAACAGTGTCATTGACCGGCTGCCTCCTGCACGCCCCCTGCTGGGGATCGAGCCCGCAACCCGGGCATGTGCCCTAACGGGGAATCGAACCTCAATCTCCTGGCTCCTAGGGCGATGCTCAACCACTGAGCCACACTGGCTGGGCAGCACCAGCTGTTTTGAGGGAACCAGTAGGGCCCATGCGTCTGGGGTTCATTTGTCAGGACAGGGCTCTCTCGGGGGGGACACTGGCCATGCAGCCTCTTGTGATGAAGTCGGTGCCCCTCAGCTCAGTGCCATGAAGGTAGCCAAGCCCCCTGCCTGGGAGCCCAGCACTGACAGCAGGTGGTGTCCCCCCTCAGCAACGACCTGCTTTGGCTGCACACGGTCTTCGCGGTCATATATCTCTTCCTCACCCTGGGCTTCATGCGGCACCACACCCAGTCCATCAAGTACAAAGATGAGAGCCTGGTGAGTGAGGCTGGGGGTGGGCAGGTGCTGGGGAGGTTCTGGGGGTGTGGAGAAGAAGGGCACCCCCATTTATTCCCCAGGAGTGTGACAGCATTGAGCTTCAGGAGAGTCCTCTGTGGCACCTGGCTGGCATATTTACACTCAAACTTGGCATCTCTCTCTCTTTTGTCAAGCCTCACCCAAGGATATGTTTATTGATTTTTTTGAGAGAGAGAGAGAGAGAGAGAAACATTGATTGGTTGCCTCTCATACAACTAATCCTACCGGGAATCGAACCCACGACCTTTTGGTGTATGGGACCATGCTCCAACCAACTGAGCCACACCAGCCAGGGCTTGGTCTTATCTTTTAAAAATTGTTTTCTGATAGATTGTGGGGTACGGGCTTGTCGTTACTGATTCTAAGTAACCCCCAAGACATTCAGATTGAGAGCAGCCCCCTCTCTCTTTGCAGCCCACATAGATTGATGGAACGGAGGAGGGACTTAGTTTCAGGCCTCCTCTGATCTGCTGTGTGACCCTATTTGAGGCACTTTCCCTCTCTGGGTTCTTTCTCAGTCCTCCCCGATCATGCAAAGGAGGCTCATAGCATTGCTTTGGAAATGTTCTCTGCATAGCTGGGAAGAAAGTACCATTTCAGGGCTCTGCCAGGCCATGGAAGGAGAGCACCTGAGCACCTGAGACGGCTTGTCCTGGTGACTTTTCTCTCCGGTGTGTTTCTCCGGCAGGTGAGGCGGACCCTGTTCGTCACAGGACTCCCCAGACATGCCACAAAGGAGACAGTGGAGAGCCACTTCAGGTGAGCAGGACTGGGACGGAAGGGGAGCGAGCCCCTCCAGTGGGACCACATAGTCCCATGGGACAGGCTCCTTGGGTGAGCGCCTTGTCTTCCACTTGGACACCCAGGTGGGATCCGAGACCCTGCCTTGTACTGGCTCTGCTGGTGCTAAAATAGAGAAAAGATCTCTGCTGGCCCAGGAATGAGCAGCTTGGGCGCTTTGCTGCCCTTGGAGATGTAGGGCGTCCCACCTGCCGGGGGGGTTCCCTTTTCCAATGCCATCTTTTGCCTCGGGCCTGCCCTGGGCACAGGGACGCATATCCGACGTGTGAAGTGGTGGAGGTCCAGCTGTGCTACAACGTGGAAAAGCTGATGTACCTGTGCAAGGAGAGGTAAGGGCGGTGGGCGGGTGTGCACGGGCTGAGCCGGCCTGCAGCTTCCCCACCCTTCCCCTCTGAGATGCCCACCCTCCTTCCTGGATGGCCTTGGGTCCCCCGGTGGGGAGGGAGGAGCGGGGCTCTGCCCTTCGCTTGTTCAGAAGGCTGAACCCCAGTCCTGGTGGTGACTGATGGTTGAATGGAGGTGTGGGGTCCATGCCACAGGACTGGGGGGTCTAAAGTTTCTCCCCTCCCCCCACCTGCAGAAAAAAGACCGAGAAGAGCCTGACCTACTACACAAACCTGCAGGCGAAGACAGGCCAGCGGAGCCTCATCAACCCCAAGCTCTGCGGCCAGTTCTGCTGCTGCGAAGTGCAGGGCTGCGAGCGGGTGAGGGCCCATCCAGGTCGGGCGCAGGCGCTGGGGTCCCCCTGCCACCCGCGCAGGGCCCTGTCATCACAGGGATGTGTCCCCTGGCAGGAGGATGCCATCTCTTACTACACGGACATGAAGGACAGGCTGATGGAGAAGATCACAGAGGAGGAGTGCAGGGTCCCGTTCCAGCCCCTGGGGATGGCCTTTGTCACCTTCCAGGAGAAGTCCATGGCCACCTAGTGAGTGTCCCAGGCCCTTCTGTGGCTGACTCCCTTGTTCTTGTCCAGATACCTCGCAGTCCCTCTTGGGTAGAGATGATCCTGCTGAATCGTGTCGCTGGGGTTTGTCAGTGGCACGTCCCTCTACTTCCCCAGGTCTGGCATGAGGAGACCCTTATGTTTGTGCGACAGCTGGGCATGGGTGATTCTAGCTGAGACCCTCTTGGATAGATGTGGCCTTAATCAGCTGCTGGGCTCACACCTCTGGGGCCTGGGGAATGAGAGAATTGAAGGGTGAAGCCGCTGGCAGCAGGATCCAGCGGGGAGCAGTGAACGAGGCAGTGCAAACGGCATGGGAGCCGGAGCCAGACAGACGGGACATAGTACCTGACTCAGAGAACCTCAGTTTCTTCATCTGTAAAATAAGAATAATAATCCTTGGCTTGCAGGATTAAAAAAAATCCTCCACATAGTGTGCCAAGCATGTTGTGTCTCTTGTAGCATTAATTATAATAAATTCATAGTAATAAAGCAAAGGTTCTGTACCAGGAGGCTCCCAGTCTTACTCAGTCCATGCTGTGAATGCACATGGCACTGCGTGGTCTGGGCCTGGCCATTTCTGCATTTCCTGGCAGCATCCTGAAAGACTTCAACGCCTGCAAGTGCCAGGGCCTTAGGTGCAAAGGCGAGCCCCAGCCGTCCTCCTACAGCAGAGAGCTCTGCATCTCCAAGTGGACAGTCACCTTCGCCGCTTACCCTGAGGACATCTGCTGGTGAGCCCCCAGGCCCAGGAGGGCCACATTTCAATGCTCAGTAGCCACCCGTGGCTCGTGGCTGCTATATTGGACAGTGCAGCCTTAGGTCAAGTGTCACCTGCTTCGTTAGCCTGGGGGACACATTAAAAGAGTAAAACAAAAAGTTCAAATTAATTTTAATATTATCTCTTCCTGTATATCTAAAATATTCAGTTCAACAGTTAGCAGTGAATAACTTGTTTTCCTTCTGAGCTCATAGGGCCCCCAAGTTTGACCTTCCTGTAGCTGAAGGTCAGTGCTGAGAGCTTATCTGTACTCCTAGGTTGAAATGAGCCCTAAGCCAGAGCCCTCAGGCTAGTCTGTTGGCTTGCCCCAGTCGAACCTTCTGACCCACCTAAAGCCAGGGCACTGCTGGGATGGTTGGCGGTCAGATCTTGGGAGATAAGCCTCCAGGGCCTGTGTTCTCTCCCCTGCAGGAAGAACCTCTCTATCCAGGGCCCGCGCTGGTGGCTCCAGTGGCTGGGCATCAACTTTATTCTGTCCGTGGGGCTGTTTTTTCTGACCACACCCTCCATCATCCTCTCCACCATGGACAAGTTCAATGTCACCAAACCCATCCATGCTCTGAATGTGAGTGACCATTCTGCACAGCCCATCCCAGGAGGGCTGGTGACAATAGGGTGTGGTGGGTGGGGGAGGGATGGGGGCCAGTGATGTGGGAGACAGTGAACCAGGATGTCATGTGGTTCAGCTCATGTCTGTGCTATTATTTATTTATTTATTTATTTATTTATTTATTTATTTTTAAAATATATCTTTATTGATTTCAGAGAGAGGAAAGGAGAGGGAGAGAGAGAGATAGAAACATCAATGATGAGAGAGCCATTGATCGAGCCCACAACCCGGGCCTGTGCCCTGACTGGGAATCGAACCCCGATCGCCTGGATCCTAGGTCGACGCTCAACCGCCGAGCCACGCCCGGCCGGGCTGTGCTATTTTTTAAACAAACAAACGAACACACAAATATTTTTTATCCAGCTATAATTGACATACGTAATCATCTGTGTTTTTAAGCCCTAAGCAGACATGGCCACATTTAGTACAATGTTTTCTAGTAATTTAGACATTTTATGTACATGTATTCATTATATATATATCATTGATTTTCTGTAGGGAATGGAGATTATCTGGTCAGTAAGACGAGGGGAATTCAATTATATGTGAAATTGCTCTCTTCACTCTACCATACAAATATAAGGTGCGGTTGTTGTCTCTTAAGCCAACAGTATGGAATACCTGCCCTGTGCCAGGCACAGCGTTGGTTCTGGGGGTCACGGATGACCCAACCGCAGCCCCAGGAGTTCACTGAGCTGCCTTGCCGGTAGTTCATGGCCTCATACCCCCAGCTCTGCTGTGGCCCTTGTCTTCCAGGATCCGATCATCAGCCAGTTCTTCCCAACCCTCCTCCTGTGGTCCTTCTCAGCCCTGCTGCCGTCCATCGTCTACTACTCTACACTGCTGGAGTCTCACTGGACCAAGTGAGTGCCGGAGCTCTGACCCCCGCCCCCGAGGGCAGTGGGCACACGGCTTGCTGGGAACGCCTGGGACACTGGGGCCTGTGAGCGCTCACCTCTGACTTCCTGCAGGTCAGGGGAAAACCGGATCATGATGACCAAGGTCTACATATTCTTGATCTTCATGGTGTTGATTCTGCCCTCCCTCGGCCTCACCAGGTACACGTGGCCACCTCCTGCTCTAAATTCAGAATCAGGGGCACATCTGGAGAGCACTGTCCCCAGGAGAATGGGAACGGTTTTGGAGTGGGGGCAGAGCCTAAACAACGTTTAAGCCCGTCACACCCACTTGGAGTCCAGTTGTACCGGCCCATGGATTGTCCTGGAGACACAATCTCTCTAAGCTTGAAAACAATATTGATCTGACCTTCCACTTAGGGGAAGGATCTGACCCTGGCTTTGTTCATCTCCAGGAAGAGTCTCTGTTCAAGTAGGCCCTGGTTTGTTACACTGTAGTAAGCGGCATTTTAAAGGATAAATGTAGATCCTGAGATTAGGCCCATTTTTAGAGCAGGGAAAAAAAGAATGTGTGTAGGGATCACACGGAGTGTTGGAAATTAATTCTTATGGGACCCATTTGTCTTTCAGTCTGGATTACTTCTTCCGGTGGCTCTTTGACAAAACTACTATCAGGTTGGAGTAAGTATCAGCCATGTTGTATTTTGGAGCCATGGTCCCGGGTTAATGTCCCACAGGGGCTTGGGCTGCACTGTGGGGAGGGTAGTCCATGCTTCGGAGCAGATGTCTTCCTCCCTGAGACCCCAGGGACTGGGTCCCCACCTCCCCTCTCCGGTTCCTGCTGGGCGCAGGCCAGGCAGAGCCTCGTGCCACGCCATGGGAGCTGGCCCATTTGTGCTATGTGCGCAAAAATGTGGTTAATTTTTTAGGCCAAAGCTCAATTAGTCACAGTCTCATTCATTCTTTGAAACTTATTTACCGGGAACTGAGCCGTTGGGGAGAAGGATCTGCTGGGTCTCAGGGGTGCCAGGCAGCAGGGTGAGTGATGATTAACGCTGGCAGGAAGGAGGCCCTCCTGCCTCTCAGCTCACGCCCCTGCCCGCATCCCCAGGTGCGTTTTCCTGCCGGACCAGGGCGCCTTCTTTGTGAACTACGTTATCGCCTCGGCCTTCATCGGCAACGGCATGGAGCTGCTGCGGCTGCCGGGGCTCATCCTCTACACCTTCCGCATGATCATGGCCAAGACCGCCGCCGACCGCAGGAACGTCAAGCAGGTGCGGGCTGGCGGGGCGGGGGCACGCGGACCCCTCGGAGCTGCCCCCCTCGGGCACTTCCCCAGCCGCCCAGCTCAGTGCCAGGCACCTGAGAAGTGCTCCTCACCAGGGGCGCAGCGCCACCTCAGTGGGGTTGGCAGATCGAGGACCCTGTGTGAAAGTGCCATGTCCTCATAAACCTCCACTCTTACCCACCGGCTAGAGGAGAGAGTGCGGATTTTTGCATTTTATTTATTTTTTAAAAGTAGCAGTATTGCTTTTAAAAATATATATGTTTTTATTGATTTCAGAGAGAGGAAGGGAGAGGGAGGGAGAGAGAAACATCAATGGGGAGAGATGGTCATTGACCGGCTGCCTCCTGCACGCCCCCTGCTGGGGATCGAGCCTGCAACCCGGGCATGTGTCTTGACCGGGAATCGAACCGAGATCTCCTCGATCAAAGGTCGATGCTCAATCGCTGAGCTACGCTGGCTGGGTGGAGTTTTGCATTTTAAACAGTCTGATCACACACACACATACAACTAACATCGCCACATTCCTTATTTGGGGACATAAATTTGCATAAATTCTTAAGATGATCACAGATGTCAAAGGCATTTGGGGCTTGTGGCATTTGTTCCCTAAATTGGGTGGTGGGGGTTCTTTATTCTCATTTGCCTTGTGGGTACCGTGGAGAAAAGTCCGAGACGTGCTGCATTCTTTCATTGAATTATCAGACCCCCCCCCCCATGAGATGGGTACTTCTGGTACCTTACTTGGCAGATGCACAGAGTAAGCTGTAGGGAGGTTAAGCACGTGGCCCAGGACACAGGCCAGAAGGGGCAGAGCTGACACTGGGCCTGATGCCCAAATCTGTAGGGATCACTCAGCACCCTGTCCTCAGACGCACCGTCTGCCCTCCAGGGGCTCGTGGGCCTGCTGGGTGGACACGATTGAGACAAAGGAGACACTAAGGAAGCATGAATCACCGCACCTGGGAGGCCTGGGTGTGAGCTGAGGGAAGCTGGAGGAGGCTTGTGGAGGGAGAGAAGACCTCAAGAGGTGGGGGGAGCTGTGAGTCTCCCATTTCCCAAGATCTTCTCACCTGGCTTTCCCCTCACCACCTGGAGCCATCAGAGGGGGATTTGGGGTGGAACAAGCCTGTAAATGCCTCGCCACCTTCTCCACCTCCCAGAACCAGGCCTTCGAGTTCGAGTTCGGAGCCATGTATGCGTGGATGCTGTGCGTCTTCACTGTCATCATGGCCTATAGCATCACCTGCCCCATCATTGTGCCGTTTGGTGAGTGGCCCTGAAGCCAGTCCAGGGTAGGGGGGTGGTTGTTTCCACCAAGCACCCCAAGACAGCCATCATGGGGCACAAACAGAGGACCTCTTGTAGCCACAGAGCCACAAGCTGTTAGGGAGCCACAGGTGACACTGAATTTAATTTCACTTCTCATGCACCTGACACATGTCAGTGAGGGGTAGAGTCAGGATTCAAACTTAGAACTGTTTGATTTTATTTTTATTTTTTTAAAAAAACATCTTTATTGATTTCAGAGAGAGGAAAGGAGGGGGAGAGAGAGAGATAGAAACATCAATGATGAGAGAGTCATTGATCGGCTGCCTAGCCCGCAACGCGGGCATGTGCCCTGACCGGGAATCGAACCCCGATCTCCTGGGTCCTAGGTCAATGCTCAACTGCTGAGCCACGCCCGGGTAGGCAGAACTGTTCAATTTTAAAGCCAAGGTCTTGCAACTAAAATAAAACATGAGGAACTGGTTGACAGATGGAAGACTCTAGAAGGAAACAGAACACCCAAGAGACTGTTGGCAGTGAGAGCTGAGGTTTGGGGTAGGAGGAAGTTTTAGTTTTCCCTGTTTACTCACTTGTGCTATTTTTTAAAAAACAGTATTACTCTTTCAAAACAACAAAACAAAACAAAACAAATTTAAGAACCTGACATAAAAGGCAGCATCCACCTTATGTGCTGCTCCTGGGTTAAGATCCTTGGATATCCATTGACCGAGGGCAGGAGGGCAGGAGGGCAGGAGGGCAGCTCCGGTGGGAGAAGGAAAGGATAGCGGGAGCCTTGAGGGGCCTGGGGGCTGCTCAGCATGAGAGGGGCCCAGGAGGAAGCTGAGGTCAGGCCTCTGAGTGTAAAATAGCCTCTTTCCCTGAAATGATGCTAGAATTTCAGTGCTCCATGGGCACAGAATTATGGACACCTCTACTCCTTGGAGTCAGAAAGGAGGAGAGGGGTCGAGGAGGAGGGGGTGGCGGGGGGAGAGACCAGGAACACTAGCAGCCGGGATATACGTCGTTCATGCGTTTTGCCCACCCTCTGGTTCACGTGGTNGGAGGAGAGGGGTCGAGGAGGAGGGGGTGGCGGGGGGAGAGACCAGGAACACTAGCAGCCGGGATATACGTCGTTCATGCGTTTTGCCCACCCTCTCGTTCATGTGGCCAAGCAGCAGCCCCAGCCCCAGTTCCACGCACAAATAGCCGCCCCAGGAGGAAGGGGACAGAGGGGCCCTGTGGCCCAGCCGGCCTCCAGCTCACAGCCCCATCTCTGCAGGCCTCGTTTACATCCTGCTCAAGCACATGGTGGACCGGCACAACCTCTATTTCGCCTACCTCCCGGCCAAGCTGGAGAAGCAGATCCACTTTGCGGCTGTGAACCAGGCCTTGGCCGCTCCCATCCTGTGCCTCTTCTGGCTGTATTTCTTCTCCTTCCTGCGCCTGGGTGAGGAGCCCTTCTGACCCCCGGGTGGGGAGGCAGCCTGGCCTCCCAGGCCCATAGCCACACCAGCCAGGCAAATCCTTCATTGCTTTACCAACATCAAGCTGGTGTCCAATCAGAAGGTGGCACCCAGGGTGAGGGTTGGCTGGGTGTCTAATCAGAACGGGGCACCCAGGGCGAGGGCTAGTTGGGTACAGCGGTGACAACCTAAGCTAGCCCAAGCTCAAGTGTAACTGGTGAAGGCCGGGTCGATTGGCCCCTTGATCAGCTATGGAGGGGCTGAGCCAGAGGAGATGGGAAGCTGGTCCAGACTGCTCTTTGGCAGTGGTGGATGGGCCCAGGTCCTCACACCTCATAGCGGGGACATGCAAGAGGGAAAACCAACACTCTTGGGGAAAAGAAAAAGCCAGGAGAGATGTGGGATTGCCCCGGTCTGCTGGGGAAGCCTCCACTCTACCTAACCCAGGACACCGGAGACTGCAAGGAACTGACCTAACAAGGAAGCTGGCAAATTCCCACTGACTTGGTGTCCCAGCTGCTTGAGGGGGTGCAGGGCGGTGCCTTGTCTTTTTTTTTTTTTTAAATGTCTTTATTGATTTCAGAGAGAGGAAGGGAGAGGGAGAGAGAGAGAAACATCAATGATGAGAGCCATTGATTGGCTGCCTCCTGCACGACCCCCGCTGGGGGTTTGGGGCCCACAACCCGGGCATGTGCCCCGACTGGGGCTCGAACCTCGATCTCCTGGATCCTAGGTCGATGCTCAACCACTGAGCCATACCAGCTGGGTGGTGCCTTCTCTTTGTTTTCTGCCTGAGGGAGAAGTCACCCCACAGTTCCCGCACCAGGCGTGGACCCTTCCTTATCAGGGGGAGGGGGACTGGCAGCCCCTCTCTCCCTCCACTAAGGTTGGCATCGCTTTGTCCCCAGGTATGACGGCCCCTGCCACCCTGTTTAACTTCGTGGTCGTGCTGATCACCATCCTGGTCTGCCTGGGCTACACCTGCTTTGGATGCTTTAAGCACCTCAGTCCTCTGAACTACAGGGTAAAGACCCCTCTTCCCATCGCCCCCGGCCAGGGCCTGGGAGGAGATGTGGGCATGGTTTCTACCCCTCCTCCACCCATTCACGTATCAGCAGGCTTCTCTAGGTTTTATTTATTCATGGGAAAGGCATCGGTAGTTGGGTGTAACCTGCAGCTTCCGTCCCCCCCTTCCCTGCTCCCTGCCTACCTCCCCCCCTGCTCTCTTGGGCTGCTGCTGGGAGCCTGGTGCCAGCTGATACCATTATTCTGGGTGTTAACAGTCTGCTTGTTTGGAGGGTGTTCGTTCAGGAAGATCAGTATTGGGTATCATTGGGAGTTTCTGCTGTTAATCTGCAGACAGAAGAGCCATCAAGTGACAAAGGAAGTGAGGCCCAGCCCCACGTGCCCCCACCCTACACGGTAAGTTATGGATCCCCCAGCACCGAGCACTGGCAACGGCCCCAACCAGATGGGCCCGGCAAATGCGCTTCGATCATCTCTTTGTTAAGACAGAAGCCCAGTCCGTTGATCACGTGTCAGGCAGGTTGCTAAATGTCACTTGAGAAGGAGTCCCTGGTCCCTCTGGGCGCTTTAACTTGCCCACGTGGAGCTGCATCCCTCACCGAGAGGAGAATTCGCTGGGCCATGGTGTGTGCCCATCCCCCTTGGTGTCAGTTCCCTGCTCACATTCCTTCTCTGCATATTTAATGGCTTTTGTGAGGCACTGTCGCCGGGCCCTAAGGTTTGGTGAAACTTATCACAAGAGTCTCAGCAGCACCTGCCTGAGCGAGGTCCTCCGCGGTGTCAAAACAGCTCCCGTTTGAACTCCGCAAATGAACACAGCACCTGCTTCACGCAGGCAGCGTGTCAGAAAGACGCCAGGTCTCCTTTCTTTCCCCGGGCTCCCTGCTTGTGGCCTCTAGAGTCCTGCTCCTGGGATGGGGCTGGGAAAGGAAAAGGGAGCCGTGGGATCCCAGGGCCGTGACCACTGCCACCTGACAGGGCCGGAGCTGGGGCAGGTGCCCCTCTCTTCAGCGGTGTTCTTTCCAGTGGCTGCCTCCTGGGGGTCAGGCCCTCTTATCAGCATCTGCCTTTGGACCAGCCCCAGAGAAGGTTCTCAGGGAGACGCCTTACCCGGGGGAAGAGGCAGGGCAGATGGATGATGGAAATCCCTCCTTCTCAGCCTGGGCCTGGGAAGAGCAGAGCAGGGCTGTGCCACTGGGGTCAGCAGCTGGAGCCTGGCACTGGAAGTCCCATTGACAGCACTCTGCGCCTGTCCTGTGTGGATAGACTGGATGCCTGTGTAAAGTGAANTGGAAGTCCCATTGACAGCATTCTGCGCCTGTCCTGTGTGGATAGACTGGATTCCTGTGTAAAGTGAAAGATTCTCCCAGGACCCAGTGCTGGGAAAAGTTTTTTCTTCCGAGGAACAGGGGTGTGTGCTTCTTTCTGGTCATGAGAGCTGTGTAGTTGATTGCATTTTATGTTTTCCTCTGGCTGCTCCGAAAGTCTGTAGTTGGCAAATTTTGGGTCCTGACATCCTAAGTTGATGTTATTTTTTTATGTGTCCTTCNCATTTTATGTTTTCCTCTGGCTGTTCCGAAAGTCTGCAGTTGGCAAATTTTGGGTCCTGACATCCTAAGTCGATGTTATTTTTTTATGTGTCCTTAATGAGCGTTGTGTCTCTCTTGCTGGAAGGAGGGGGCACAGTGGAGGGGCTCAGCATCTCACACTCGCCCCACTCAAGCACTAACACCCTCATTTGTTGGCAGCCCTATGTGCCCCGGATTCTGAACGGCATGGCCTCTGAGAGAACAGCCCTGTCCCCAGAGCTGCAGCAGACCTACGGGGCCATCCACAACATCAGTGGGACCGTCCCGGGGCAGTACCTGGCCCAGAGCCCTGCGGACAGCGTGGCAGCTGCCTACCAGGAGTCCTGAGAGCGGGCCAGCTGCTGGACTGGGTCAGGCTCGGGGAGCTGGGAGGTGAGGAGACGCAGGTGGAGAAGTAGCTTGACATTGACCCCAACCGAGTCCAGGACCTCTGTCCACCTTTTAAAGCCCCACTGCTCTGAAAAGATGGAACCAGCCAGGAAGGGGCGCTGGCCCTCGGCTGAGAGGTTTGGGGCAGGACTATCACTGGGTAGTGTTTTCTGGTCACAGCAGTGGTGAGACCAGGTGCCGCTCCCTACCCTTGCTTGCCTGGGGCTCTGCTCGCTTCCCATCCCCCTCTGCAGTGTCCAGCTGTAGCTGGATGATGTCCCCATGATTTTTAGCAAGATCATGTGTTGGAATTGAGTCCCTCCAGGGCCATTGGTTGTGGTGACTCAGGTAACAGGGAGAATTTAACAAGTGGGAGACCTCCTCCCTCCGAGCACGCACACACCACCCACCCCCTTCTAAGCACACGTACAACCAGCTGATAACCAAAGAGCCTGCGGCAGGCCCAGGCCTGACATGGGGTCCAGAAGGTGGCCCCGGGTCATTCCGGTTCCCCCTCTGCGTAGTAAGCCGGGCACCCCAGCCCTGTCCCAGGAGTGCGCCGTGGGGGGCAGGATAGAAATGGTCAGTGCAGGCTCTGCCAGCCTCACACACACTTCCTGCTGTGGTTCTGTTTTTGTATCATGTCGCCAGTCACACTGGCTGGGCCAGCGTCACCCGCAGCCGTCAGGGACCATGCGACCCACTAATAAAGTGCCCATTCAGCCAGACTGGTGAGAGCCAGCTTTTCCTGCCTCCTCAGGGCCAGTGCGTGGGGCTCAGCCTCCAGTCCTTGACTCCCATGTCTGTTCCCTCCAAGGTGCGGGGTGGGCGAGAGTAGTGCTCAGGGCCTCCTTGGAGCCAAGGGAGGACTGTGGCAGGGGAGAGACAGAGGGGGTGCCTGGGCTGGGTGCAGGGGCTGTGCACCACCCTTGAGCTGTGATCCTGGTAGGAAGGACGGACAGTCCCTTGCCTTTTCTCCCCGGTGGGATCCGGTGCTGAGAGACAACTTTGGGCACTTGCTGGAGACACCGCCTCCCTACTGCCTCCAGGGGGCGTCAGAGTCACAGGTGGGCAAGGGTGGTGGGCAGAGCCAGGGAGGCGCCTCAATCCCCAGGGATGGGCGGGGCCAGGCTGCATCTGGGGCACCTGTGAGGTCACTCAGCCCCATAGTCACTCAGCCCCTTGGCCTCTGCCCTGAGCTGCCCTGGGCACCAGAAGGGGATAGAGCCATGTCCTGGTGCCCCCAGCAGGCCTGTCCTGCCCTCCCCAACCCAGGCTGCAGACCTGCCGGCTCTGCAGGAAGGGGAACCCAAGTGGGGTCAGGACACATGCATGTCACTGGGTTCCAGCAACTCTTTAAGAGTAAAATCATTTATTATCAAAGCAATGTTGCGTAACACGTGTGAGGGAGTACGCGTGGAGGCGTGAGCGTGGGAGTCCTGGGATGGGTAGGGGACCGAAGCAAACTCATTACCCAGAAAAGGGTTTCTTCACCCAGAAGAGATGGAGGCCGCCTCCCTGGCAGGGAGCTGGCAGTGGGAGACTGGCGACTTCCAGGAAAAAGGGCAGGTGGGCAGGTGTCAGCGAGGGAGCCTGCCACCAAGGGGCAGGGGCTGCCTCTGAGGCGTCACTGCCGTTCCACCAGCCCCACAAACTTGCAGATGTCTTGGGCGAGCAGCTCTGGCTCCTCAAAGGCAGAAAAGTGGCCCCCACGGGCCATGTAGGAGTAGGAGAGGAGTTTCGGGTACTTGAACTTCACCCACTTCTCTGGGACGTGAATTAACTCACAAGGGAAGGCAGCAAAGCCTGTGGGCACATAGACCTTCATCCTGGAAGAGACAGAGATCCCACTGAGGGGGCACGCTGTGGCCTGGCAGCCTGTCCCCCCACAGCAGGGGCTTTAGGGGACTGTGTGTGTGTGTGTGTGTGATAAGCCACCCCCCTCGATTCCAACCCACTAAGAACCGTCTTTTCTGGAAGGGCTGCCCAGTCTCGAAAGTGGGATGGAACAGCGTCACTTCCCACCTTTGTTCCCCTTTGCTTTTGCTGTCCTGAGGGTCTTCATATGAGATTAGGAAAGGGTGATGGATGCGAAAGTCCCAGCACTGTCAGTGCCACCAGGCCAGCATCCTTGCCCTGGGGAGCCCGGGGTTCCCTTTGGGAGCAAATTCTAAAGGCCGAGGGATTTCTCTGAATACCCCCGACCTTTAACTTCTACTCTCATCCCACACACCCAGTGCAGCCCGCAGGCCAGGCTGTATTTCCTGCCATTGAATGCTCTCCTTGAGCCCAGTGTGGCTCAGTGGTTGAGCATCAACTCACGATCCAGGAGATCGAGGTTCTATTCCCAGTCAGGGCACATTCCTGGGTTGCATNGTGTGGCTCAGTGGTTGAGCATCAACTCACGATCCAGGAGATCGAGGTTCGATTCCCGGTCAGGGCACATTCCCGGGTTGCACGCTCGATCCCCAGTAGGGGGCGTGCAGGAGGCAGCCGATCAATGACTCTCTCATCATTGATGTTTCTCTCTCTCTCCCTTCCTCTCTGAAATCAATAAAAATAGAAAAAAAGAAATCAGCACTGTATTTAAAAAAAAAGAATGCTCTCCCTTGAGTTCAAGACCAAGTCCTCCCCCTGCTCCCCGCCTTGGAGGGCCGCTCCCCAGGGGCAGGCTCACCGTTGGTGCTTGTCGGCCATAAAGTCTTTTCCCGTGTTCTCCTTGTAGAAGCGCTGGGAGGAGGCGATGGTGCCCGTTGTCCAGTAGATCATGATGATAGTCAGCAGGTCATCCAGGGAGAACTTCCTGGGAAAGCAGGAGGCCGCCCTCAGTGCCAGGCACAGTGGTACCACAAACGAGTTGCGGGTTGAGACCCTCTGGGGAGGTGCTCTCGAGTTTCATCTGACACCTCCTGAGAGGGTCTCAACCCTCAGTGCCCACCCCCAGCTTCCTGCCTTCCCTGCCTTCGAGGAAGTCCAAGTCCATGGAGCAGCTGCTCCCCCCATGGCCTTCTCAGCTGGATTCCGACTTGGGGGGCTTTGGTGTCTCCACCCAGTGAAGACGGAGAAGAGAGTGAAGAGTGAGGAAGATGCTGCTGGCAGGAGAGGTACCCAGGTCTCACCTCTCCAGGCCGCCATCCTCCAGGTCTCGGAACTCTGAGTTGGTCCAGGTGGAAAACTTCTCTAGGATGTAGGCAGCCAGTCCCACGGGAGAGTCGTTCAGGGCACAGCCTGGGATGGCAAGAGGCGAGAGGGACTCAGGCCTGGGACCAGGGAGCTGGCCGGCAGGGCCGAGGTGTGTGCAGGCCTAACAGAGCAGTGCCAGAGAGCCTGTGGTGGGGCACAGCTCTGTCGTGAAGAGCACCCCACTTCCTTAGCCCTCGCCACGGGATCCTCATGTCTGATAAAAGGGGTAATACCTCCCCATTGCTTCTTTCAAGCAGAGGGGTCCATGACTCTGGTTTTGTGTGAGATCCCAAATGAGAAATATATATGAATCCAGACTCAGGTCAGGAGGGTGTTACCCTGGAGGGTTGGGGGAGACAGTGTCTGGAAGAAGGCAGTGGGGCTTCCAGGCTGGTGGGTGATGATCTGTGTCTGGTTATATGGACAGTTCCACTTGTGAAAATTCATCACCCAAAAACGTTAGCAAGTTCTTGTGATGGCTGGGGACGGAGGAGCTAGGGATGGACGAGAGGTGACAGGTGACTGTCGTTTCTGTTTTGTGCTGTTCACATCTTTCAGTTTTTTGAAAATGAGCGTGGATTACTTTTATAACCAGAGGGAAAACACTGGTTTTATGAAGTGCTGCTATTTTCATGAACTGCCTAATGTGTGTGGAGCACGGGACTGTCCTGAACATTATAAAAGACTTTGAAAAGAGCAAAACTATTCCTGGGTGCTGAGTGGGATTCAGGGAGCCATCTAGTGGACCCTTCCAGGGTTATATGACTCTACAGGGGTCCCCTCTTCCCTTGTCTTCGAGCTGTTTTATAGCTCTGTAAACTTATGCAAGCGATTCCTGCTCATTGAAAGGCAAACGGAGATTTACATTATGTGGATTTTGACTGTTTGCATCTATTAGCCCATTCAATTAGCCTAATTGCCTTTGAGCTGTTTTGTTTACATTCTGCCAGTTCTTTTATTAATTAATGAGTTAAGTAAAATCTTTGATGTGTGTTCATTTTATATTTGTATGATTTTATCTTTTTAAATGTTTCTGTCTTTTTTTTTTTTTTAATGATCTTTTAACAGGACCCTGGTGGCAGAAACAGTTGCTGGGCCCTCCCCTGCTGTCATGGGGATCCCCACTCTGGGCCTTGGGGCACCCCCTCCTCTGCCACCACAGTCCCAGAGGGACCAAGCCTCCCCCTACCCTTCTCCATCCCTCAGGGGTGGGAGGGATCAGGGGGTCAAAGCCACTAGGAAAATGAAATCCGCTAAATGGAAATGTCTGGGAGTTCGATGGGCCATGCCTCAACTCACTCCTATGGAAAAATGCAGCTTAAGGGTTGAAAGAGCCGAGTTCCTCAAAGCGGCTGTCACCTGTGAGCAGTGTTCCCGAGGATAGGCGAGGCCTCCCGGGCTGGGAGCCTTCCCGAGTGGAATGGATGGAAACCGCCTCCCCTGCCCCTGGTGGAGGAGCCCACGGGCTGGGCCACCTCCCCGGTCACTCACCCACGGTGTCCGGCTTGGTGGACTGGATATGCATGTACCCGCTCTCCCTCATCAGGCTGTAGAAAATCTTCTCTTTCAAGGGGTACATGAGCTCGATGTCCCTCTCGGTGAAGCCAAAAAGCTTCTGGAAACGCGGTCCCAGGAAAAGGATCAGGGTGTAGAAATGTCTTACCACGAAGACCATGTTCAAGTGCAGGCCTTTCACGTGGCTGACGACAGAGAGGGGCCAGGTGAGGCTCGCTGGTGTCCAGGGAAGGGGGGAGGGAAGAGAGAGGAGGAAGCGGACACCAGGACCAGCCCCCTTCAGCATCTGTCCCTTTGGGGTGGTCACAGGAGGTGAAGGGGCAGGTTGACGAGAAAATCCAGAGTTTCTAGAAAGTTCCAGTCTGGTCTCTCCCAGGGTTTGGTCCATTAGGAAGGTCTACTCCCTGACCTTCCCCTCCTCTAACTGGCCATTTCTGCCCAGGCATCTGGCCCAGAGTCACCAACCCTGTGTGACACCAAATGGAAGGTGGATCCATGTCAAGTGCCCCAGGTAGAGCTGACCACCAGGGAACCTCCTTCCTCTCCCCTGAGCTCACAGGCATCCAAGCAAGAGGACGCTCCAAGGCCCCAATACCATGTCCAGGCGGAGTCCAGTGTGAACAACCCTGCCATGCTGCACAGATGTCCAACCTGTAGATGCTGTGCACACACACACATGCACACACACACATACCGGAAAGTGACCCTCACCTGGGCACCAGCTGGGCTATGTTGGTGCAGATCAGGGACCCCCAGTCCCCACCTTGAGTGTAGAATTCCTGGAAGCCCAGCCGCAGCATCAGCTTATAAAAGATCCTGGCCGTGGCCACCGAATTCAAGCCTGGTTGTAAGGGGGAACGAGAACAGAGTCATGGAGATTTCATTCCTTGGGTTTCCTGTGTCCTATGAAATCCTCCCCCCCCACCCCCCGGTGCCCCAGGCTAGGTAAGAGCAGCTCAGGAGGAGAGGGAATCCTGGGGCCCAAAGGTGGGGTGCCCGATGCCTGCCTTGGTGGACAGGGAGTGGACAGGTGGGCTCAGGCCAGCCAGGTGAGCTCCTGTGGGCCCACATGGTGTGGGACTTGGTCAGCCTGCTGGCCTGGAACAGTCTATGGCCTGTCCCCGAGTGGGGAGCTCCTCAGATCACTACAGTCCAGGCCCCTAGGCCAGCACTGAACAGTCGTGACCTTGACTCTGGGAGTCATAACTCAAGTTCTGAAGGAAGCTGGCCCAGCTGACTCCCTGCCTCATTCCACCAGAAGGAGAGCCTGGTGGGGAAACCTGGCTCCACCAGGTGAGGTGGGGGCAGGTCCACGGCCTACCCTTCTTGGAGGATGCTTCTGAGAAGCCATAGCCGGGGATGGAAGGGCAGATGACTTCAAAAATGTGCTCGTCGCTCAGGCCGTGGTTCTTGGGGTCAGTCAGGAGCGGGATGATCTTATAAAACTCGTAGAAGCAGCCGGGCCAGCCATGCACCATCAGCAAGGGCTTCGCAGTGCGGCCAGAGGGCAGCTCGGGGGGCTTCACATGAATGAAGTGGATGTCCAGCCCTGGGGGGACAGAGCAATCAGGATGGTGGACAAGGGGGAGAGGGCCCTGCAGGTGGGGANTCTTGGGGTCAGTCAGGAGCGGGATGATCTTATAAAACTCGTAGAAGCAGCCAGGCCAGCCATGCACCATCAGCAAGGGCTTCGCAGTGCGGCCGGAGGGCAGCTCGGGGGGCTTCACGTGAATGAAGTGGATGTCCAGCCCTGGGGGGACAGAGCAATCAGGATGGTGGACAAGGGGGAGAGGGCCCTGCAGGTGGGGACGCTGCAGTCACAGCCCTCAGGGTATCTGGTTAGGCTCTGCACCCTCCGGAGCTCAGGCAGTGGGTGCTGCCACCTTAGCTCCCCACCGCCATGGTATTGATCGCAGTAATAACAGTAATAACATTGATGTGAGAGACAAATTGATTGGATCAAACCTGCATCCCAGGTATGAGCCCTTGACCTGGAACTGAACCTGAGACCCTTCAGTATGGGGGGCCAATGCTCTAACCACTGAGCACACCAGCCAGGGCTCATTTACTTTTTTGTGTTGCATGTACTTTCTAATTTTTCTACACCATTAAATGCATTTTAAATGCATATTTTATTTTTAAAAAATATGTCTTTATTGATTTCAGAGAGAGGAAGGGAGAGGGAGAGAGAGAAACATCAATGATGAGAGTCATTGATCGGCTGCCTCCTGCACACCCCCTGCTGGGGATCAAGCCTGGAACCTGGGCATGTGCCCTGACTGGGAATGGAACCTCGATCTTCTGGACCATAGGTCAATGCTCAACTGCTAAGCCACACCGGCTGGGCTTACATGCATATTTTCTACACATATTAAATGTATAACTTTATTTTTGTAAGTGGAGAAATTTGTTTTTAAGATAAAGTGCTGGATTCTGGGGTTCCCCAGCTTTGTCTAGGTCACGTCCGGGGCCTGAGAAGGCCATTCCTGTGGCATCCGCGCCCCCTCCAGCTGGTGTTTTGGAAATGTACCTTCGATCTTAGTCTTGAAGTGAGGGTATCTGTTGAGAACCTCCACCTGCTTCCTCCAGTCAAATTCATTCCGCCAGTAGGAGAGGATTTTCTTGAGACAGTTGGAGTTGAAACCATAGTGGAAGCGGCTGTCCTCCAGCGGTGGGGTTAAACGAGCCTTTTCGATCCTTCGGTATAAATCCTGGAGCAAAATGCAGGACCCCAAGGGGAGAGGGGTGGGTGGGGCAGAGCACAGAGAAAGTTTGTTCTCAGAAGACAGAGCAAACCCTGCAGCCACCAGACACTGCATTCCTGCCGAGGCAAAGCTGGAGGTGGTGAGGAGGCCACTGGTCTTTTAGTTAACTTTTCTCTGTGCACATTTCTTTTCTCAAGAGCTATGAGCTATGTGAGGGAAGAATCTCTCTGTCTTCCGCGTACCCAGCAGAGTGCCTGCACATAGTAGGTGCTCCAATACCCACAGAAGAAAAGCAATAGGCGGAGACATCCCAGGTCCCACCTACCCTCCTGGAGCTGCTGAAGCCTGCCTCTGGGATCAGCCCATCCCACAGTCACATCCTTTCTGACTCCAGCCCTGTGTGGAGGACGACACAGGCTCTGGAGTCGGGCAGATCTGAGGCCAAATCCTGTGCATCATCTCCATCACCTTGGATGAATCTCTTTGCCTCTCTGAGATGCTGTTTCTCCATCTGTGAGCTGAGAACAATAGACCTCGCCCTACTGGATTACTGCAGGGACTGAATGGGACCACAGTGGCTGACACACAGTAGGTGCTTAACCCCTGCTTGGCCCTGCAGCAGGTTCTCTGTGCTTTGCATTTTTGTCACCACGCCCAGGACCTGACGACAACCCACTTGCTTTCTCCTATAAGCTCCTTTCCCAGGTTTCAGGTAGGGCACAAAGGAGGCAAGACAGCTGCTTTCTGTGACTTCCCATGCATGAAACTGGGTCGAGCTGGCACCCCCTCTCTCACCTGGGTGCTCCCAAGAAGGGGCCATTTCCGAAGCCCCATCCCCTCCCCAGTCCCAGCTGAAGGCCCAACCCCAGTCTCAAGGAAACCACAGAAGGGGGCCCTGCCCCGAAAGAGGGGCCTTACGTTGATCTCCTCGTCGGATGTTTCCACCTTGAAAGGGCGGATGCTCTCATCTTCCTCCTGGGCTGCAGGCCTCTCCCCAGGCCCCCACCACCCGTCTCCAAGTGGCAGCGTTTCCTCCTTGTCTCGGGAGATGAACCAGTAGATGATGAAGCCCAGCACCGAGGCGAGGAGAATTTCCAGCCACATGACTCCTGCAGAGGGGAAAGTCCGTCAGCCACCGAGACCACCCAGCCAGGCCTTGAGCCCTGAGCCCTGGCCAGAGACGCCATACTCCTGGCCTCTCCCACCCAACCCCTGGTTATATGTACTTTTGACCTAAAAAAATAAGCATAGTACAGAAAAATTGGAAAACAACAGAAACAGCAACAAAAATCACCCACAATCCTTCTGAGCTATGAAATTCATTCATCAAATTGAGACAATATGAACCTGAGTTGGCTCCTACACAGCCCTGGGTGTGGGAGCTGCATTTCTTTTTTTTTTTTTTTCATAATCCTCACCCTAAGGATATTTTTTCCAGTGAATTTTTTTTTTCTTTTTTTGAGATAGTGGAAGGGAGGGAAAGAGAAGCATCAATGTGAGAGGGACATTGATTGGTTGCACCCTGACTGGGGCCGGGGATCGAACCTGCAACCCAGGTACTGCCCTTGACGCCCATGACCAGGATCTAACCCGCAGCCTTTTGGTGTTTGGGACAATGCTCCAGCTAAGTGAGCCACCCGGCCAGGGCGCCCCTCTTTATTATTTAATAGCGGGTATTAAATGCACACGAAGTAAGGTGTTCTAGGTTAACCCGCTGTAACAGGCGCTGACTGCCTCTGCCAGGGATGTGATGCGCTGAACCACAGTCCATGCAAATCCACCCAGTAAGGAGCTAAAATTCATCAAAATTGACTTTCCTTTTCATGCATTGAAGGCAAAAATCAGGGCCGGCCAGGGTGTTGCCCAAAGTCCCCCGGCAGTTGTGAGGATTAGAACCTGCAGCCAGGGAGCTCATTCCCTGCCTCTCAGACGCGCCCGGCCCCTTCCCCGCCACCCCATCTTCCCTCCGTGCATGTTTTTAGTCTCCAATCCCAGAGCCAGACGAGCCTCGACCAGACTCTACTCAAGCCTTCCTCCCAGGCCTGCACGCCTTTAAAAAATACCCATCTAAAAAAAAACAAAAAACACATCTAAAAATAAAAAATACACATAAAAAAAAAAAATACACATTAAAAAAAAATACACATCTAAAAAAA